GACCTTTTCGACACTACCCCACCATATGGATTCCTTTCTTGTACTTTTCAAAACCTGTCCTTATCATCTGCTAGACAATTGATAAGAAATTTTATTTTGAAAGGTTATTTGTGTGGCTATCTCAAGTCATCTTATGTTTAATGTTGGAAGTCATACAATTTATTACTTGCTTCATACAAACACATATTGTCTATTGTTGTTTGTGACAAACCTTGCCAAATTATAACTGGCATATCAAATATTAATTTGGCATTTCAAGAGTGATTGAAAAACATGTACAGTGAAAGGTAGATGGAAAGGCATATGTTAAACAAGTTGTCATCCTTGATGTCAGTTTTGAGACAAAAAAGATTCCCATTCTATGTAATATTACATGCACTCACATGAAACAAAAACTATGCACTGTTCCCATGAATTCTAGCAGGATTCCTAGTACACATTTTATGGCCAAGCATGTTTTTCTATTTAGTATGTTTATCCTGACAAGTACACCAACTTCTCCTCCATAACAACTCAAAGCAATCCGGGGGGGGGGGAGAGAGAAAAGAAATTGAAAAGTACAAATGGCAAAGTCATTGATTTAGAAATAATTTCTGCCATAAACCAGAAGGTTATAAATTGAAAGTTTACAGAGGAGAAAGGCATTGGAATAATAACGATCAAAGGATGATCAAGAGTCACTAATGTGATTTTGGTAGAGAAAGTTAAATACAATCCTAAAATTTAAATCACATAGAATTTTCCAGAAGACACAAGGAAGTAACAATGCCTTTGCACATGGCACTCGTAAGACTTATTATTATTAAGAACAAAAGTTCTAATGGGAAGAAATGCAGCAAAAAGACAGTAAAGTGACCAGGAAGTAGAAAGTCTGTTTCACAAGCGGAGACTGAAAAAACAAAACAAACCCTATCAAAAGGGCATATTTATTAAATATAGATAACATTTTATAGATATATACACATACACACACATGTATACACACATATATAACATTGTTACCTACACAAAAGGGCAGTATTCAAGCTAAAAGATAACCACACACAAAATAAGCTGTAAATTAGTCTGTATAACTGCATTTCTAACCATCAGAGAAGTGGTGATCTGGAGCAGTTGTTCTGTGTGAAGTAGCAAGGCAAAAAAAGCCTCACTACCTTTGAAACCCATCAAGTCCCATTTATGCTATGAAGATCTATTACGTGGCTGGATGAAACAGCAGGGACTAGGACTTGATGACCTGAAGTCATCTCTTTCAGTCTTGTATTTCTGCAGTGGGACTGGTAGATGCCCACACGGGAAATATGTGGGATATTTTCCCTGCATTTGTAAAGTTATGATTGCAGCCTTAAAATAGCTACTTGAAAAAAAATTCTTTTCACTGATGGTTCAAAAAATCTCTCCTTCTACACAATCCAACTGGTTGAACTGTATTCCATGAATACTCACTTATGTATCTGTACCTCTATACAGTCTACTTTTAGAAGAGCTATTTGCAATGAGTTACAAGGCTCTCCTCCTTATTCTTCCTCCTTGAAGTAGCTTATGCAGAAACTAGTTGGTAATCTTCCCTTCCTAACTTCTCAATGGAAGTGCATGCTCACTACTGGGTAGTCAATACCTTTGTTTATAAAGTCCTGATTAATGGCTCTAATTTTCAAATGTAATTGAAATTGAATTAGTATCTGGGATGGAAGCTGTCCCTTGCTGCAAAACGAAAGTTACCATCAGGGTCTCCTTGTCACATTTTGGACACAAATACATCCGCACAGACAAGTAGGTGTATTTCTAGCTATTTTTTTTTTTCAACTACTGTTGCATTTGATTGGTTAGAAGAGTTCAAAGTAGCCTCTACTTTTGTCTGCTTCCACTATCTTGTTTGCCTGCAGCAGGCCTTGCTTTCCTTTTTCCAGGTGTCCTAGTTTCTCTAGATTTGAGTTAAACACAAACAAGCATGCTGAAGTACACCTTGCTATTATTACAGTTGACAATATTGAAAGTAATAAATAAATGTTTTCAAATTTATTTTTGCAGTAATAAAATAATTCACATGCTTACAGCTGAGGATGTGTGCCCCTGTGGTATCACACCCTAGGTACTCTTTTTGTCTGTCTGGTCCTCTTTATTTGACTATTGTCCTATACTTAGCTTCAGCAAACTTCTTGGTGTATGCTTAACTCTGCTCTCAGAGACGTCCTTTCTTTTAATTTACAGCAATTCCAGTTAATTTATTTTTAGTTATACAATATACAACAGTTTGGGCCTACTGTACTGATCTTGAGGCAGTAGCAGACTTCAAAAATGCCTTCGGGAGAACATCCCTAACATATCAGGTTGCATGATGGAAGAAAGATGTCAATTCCCTAGAATGAGGGAGAAAGCTAAACAAAGGCACAGACATTTCACATGGCTTGTTTGAACACAAAGCCTGCTGCCGTGGACTTGCTTTTCCTCCCAGATATGGCCTCCTTGTCCGACTAAATTTTTTGCCCTACCACATTCTTAAGACCTTCTGTATTTGTACAGGATTTCTGGTTCTATGACAGTTTGACTCGATAGTTAGCTGATACCTGGAAATCCTGGCCATGACCACACACACTCTGGAGCTGTATAAGACGTGCTCAGTAAATTAATAACTTCATCCTGAAGGAGTTGAATTTACTGCTCATGTAAAGCCCAAGTAGACCATCCAAAGTACAGCAACACTCACAGAAATATGGGAGCCTTCATACAAATCCACCATGCAGCCACAAGCTCCATTTTTGTTTTTAAAGAAAAACAATGGACTGTTTTGAAACCACTGACTTCAAAGAATGGGACTATTCAAAGTAGCAAATTTCAGCATTCATGTAACTATGTGCAGGGTTGGAAGCTTAGACTGCAAGGTCTCTCAGGCAATGACTATTTATTAGGAGACTGCAAAATAGCATACTGGGAGTGTGAACTAACAACTAGGCCTCCTAGATGCTAACACAGTATGGCTAAATATATTTTACATGGTACGTAACCTGGCACATCAGTGATGCATATACCTTCAATTACTATTTTTCACACAGATCTCTTCTCAGGAGACTCCACAGCCTGCAGAAACTAGCTAGCATCCAGAAGTTTCATGTGTATAGCAGTTAAAACTGCAGAGATTACTTATGTGAAGTTAGTTGTTTTCAGCAACAGTGAATTCATATGTGATTGAATTAGGAAGTTTTGCTGGAATCAGATACGCCAGCTTCAGAGGATATAGTGATATATTCAAATACATATGTTCACTGCATCATACCATACTCAAATGATCTTACTGTCATAAAATCAAAATGAAGTTTTTCAAATAATCCAAACCAGTTCTTTTTCAATGACACTAACTTCCTGGTAATGCTTCTGTACAAAAAACATTTACAGAATAATTTTAACTTACTTCCACTGACAGTTACAAAGCTTTTGCACAGTTTACGTTAACTGACTTCGGTTTGTTTTAAGGATATATTTGGGCAGCTGAAAACAAAACCAAAAATAGATATCTGAAGTGTTTGACAGGAAACCGATATGAGAACCAAAAAACTGAAGATAATAATAATAAGGAACATCTTATTTTTATTATCTGAGTGCAAAAATGAATGGTAAAAAACCCATAACACTCGATTACATATTCCATGAACAAGCTCAGCACTGATACGATTCCCATGAGGTCAATGGCACAGGCCCATTACAAGACTTCAGCTACAGAAAAGCACGTGTTTCCCAGCTATTGTGCAGCACTGTAATTACTCTCAATTTTGGTGGAACTCAAAGCTCCCTAAGGTTGCCTTGTTAGTTCTGCCTTAAAAAATTTTTCTGAGGAGAACGAAACCAAAACCCCTTCTGAAACTGCTAAAGGCACTGGTGATTTAAAAAGAAAATCTTGGCACCAGAGAGACCAAAAGAAGGAGCATATAATATACAGAACACAGATCATTTGGAATTGCAGCTGAACTTCAGTCTGTCACCTCCCCCTCCCTCTAATTTCTCAATTACAAACCTGACAATTCCCTCATCCCTGGAGGAAAATATGTTCACTATTTTGGTTTACTTTGGGAAAACAAAACAAAAACTTCCTCCTAGTTTCAAAATACGCTGTTTTTTTGTTCCAGTGAGACATTTTAAAAACTTTCTCAGAAAAATTTTTGAAACTTCACAACTTCTAAATCAGTATGTCCAGCCTGAGACAAGCATCTATGTTCATCTCTTATACATACAAAGTCAACCCAGTCAAAAATAGGTCAAAATGAAACAAAAATTATAGAAGACTTGCATTTTTATTTCATAACCTTACAAACTCATAATCAGATTTGTGAAATCTCATTCATTTACTGTCAAATATTCCTCATCGATGATTACTATTAGATTGTTCTGAAAAATGCTCATCTAGAACATTTTGCAGCATTTTTCAGAAAAAGTTCAAAAAAGTATCTTCCAGGATATTTATCATTGCTTATTTCCCTGATTGGAAAACCAGTTACATACACAGCCATAAGGCAGGACACCTAAACATCTTCAGGTACCACATGGAAAATATACACAGTCTTCCCATTCCCAGATGGGCAGTTTAATTTTATTTTCCTGGAATGAGATGTTAGGCTATTGTTTCCCCCCACCTTAAGTCTAGTTACTGTGAGACTGCGGCTAAACTTGTCTTTCGTTAGTAGGAATACTGTGATGTTACTTAAGGATCTGTTATTTATTTACTTTAAATGTTAGTATCTCATTTATTTGTGAGGCATTGCTGAGAGTAGACTTAAGTTTGCTTTAAGGTTACAAAATCACCGATGTGTGTACTTTTTCTCAAGGCTACTAACTCGCCGTTTCGAAGGATCTTTTTTCCCCTCCCTTCCTCTGGTCCTCACCCAGAGCTCCTTCCCACAGGCTTGGGATACTCTAAGTAGAATGAATCTCCCACATGCAGAGGCTCCTCGTCCAGGCACACTTTCACCTGTGCTAGGAAATAACCCTTTTTGGTAGCAAACCCTTACCTGCTCCCCAGCTACTTGCCGACACCGCATCCCAAGGCTGCGGCAAGGCGTTCCCAGCCCTCAGGAGGCCAAACCAGCAGCACTTAACTGGTAGCGCCTCCCGGGTCGCTGCCTAGCGGCGTTAATAGGCGACCCCCGCCCTTCCCCTGCGAGCCCCTCCGTTCCTCACCAGCCCTTCCCTAAGGACGGGCCCTCACTAAAGCCGCTGCCGCCTCAGGAGCCGGGGGCAGGCCCCAGCTGCCTTCCTTGCCGGGCGGAGGAAGAAGCGGCGACCATGAGGTGAGGGGAAAAGACCTGCGGGGCGGGGCAGACGCCGCTCCCCGCCCGCGGGCAGCCCGGCACCCACCTCCCGCCGGGTGACGAGCAGCTGGCAGAAGTCCT